CAGGAGAAGCGGGGGGTGGGGGCTGCACGAGAACACAGATCAGAGGCGTGGGAACCGGGATGTGTTTACAGTCGAGAACGAGCTGACACTTCTCTACCCTCCACCTCGAGATGCAAAGCATCTGGGCTCCTGGCCAGGCCCCCAGCCTCCCTGCCCTCCAGGCCTCGCGGCCCACGCAGGCCCGGCCCCGCTCACCCTCCCCAGCTCACCCTGCCCCGCTCACCCTGCCCTGCTCTCCTCCAGCCTGACCGTGGCCAGCCGGGAGCCCCAGGAGTTGGGACTGGCCGGGCAGAGCTCCCAGTGGACAGGGGACAGTCTACAGAAGGCAGAAGCAGAGTGAGACGGGGAGGGGACTTCCCCACCAGCCCTCCCAGACCCTCTTCTCTGGGAGGCGGGGGGCCAAGGGCCCCCCGAGCCCTGCACCCTCCCGGCCCGCTCGAGCCCGGCTGTGACCATGAACGCCAGCTCTCGGCCCCTCTGCTGTGAAGGGGACAGTGTCCCCTTCCGAGGGTGCCGTGGGGACTAACCAGTGGGCTCGGACGCAGCGTGCTCAGGCAGCGGGGAGGTCCGCCTCGCTCCCCCGCGCCCCCTCGGGTACTCATTCCAGGAAAAGCGGTTTCTTGTTTTTTTCTTTCCCGAAGAACTCCCGGGACGATCCAGGAATAGGGATGGGGCCTTAGATGCTGACAGAGAGAAAGGAAGTGGGGGCGGGAGGAACCGGGCTCCCCAAGAACCCGATCGCCCAGAAGGATGGGCTGCCCGCCAGGTACTTCTTCAGGCCAAAGACAGCGGACAGGCGGGTCGCCTGGATTCTGCCTGCCTGGTCCCGTGGCCCCGTCTTCCTCTCTCCCCCCCGTCCCCACCTCCCCCTGCCTTCCCGTCTCAGAGTCTAAGGGTCCCAGGACTGAGAGTCGTCGCAAGCTGTGTGACCTCAGGCCCTGCGAGCCTCTACTTCCTCGTCTGTAAAATGGGAAAGTACCAGGAACGGCGGGGGGACGGGGGGCCCGGGACAGAGCCTCCGGCCCAGGGCGGGCGGGGGACACGTGTCCACGCAGAAGCGGAACCCGGGTTAGGGCTCCCCGCCTCTTT